AGAAATTTTCAAAAAGCACTTTTAAAAATTTGCTAATACTTGGAATAAAAATAACAAATAATTAATGTAGAATTAAAACCAAATACAGTCAAAAGTATTTAATCTGGACTCGTTGGGACTTTGGAAATTCCGGATTATAGATCATCAGTTTAAATCTGGTAAGATGGCATGCAGAAATTATAAAATTAAAAATATGAAACTGTAATTTATGAAATAAAGAGTAATTATGATCTAAAGGGTATCAAAATTTACAAAAAAAAGCTTAATATTTATTTGTTTACTTCATTAAACATTTCTTTCAACGCGAGCATGTGTAAAGCATACATTACGCATAGTCGAAATTAGAAAATTGCAACTAGAAAACTATTTGATGTGTATTTGTGATATTACTAATGATGAGAAATTTGATTAAAATCATATCAAAGATGGAGTACATCGAGATGAAATACTACATTTAGTAAAGAATTATAAGCCGAATAAAATAAAAACATCTGCCCTGAAGATAAGGTTAGTGCTGACAGATACTTTCAGTTCATTGCGCTCCGCGACATCCCCCCCTGCAGAGCAGCGTGAAATTGATAAACAGATTTTGGAATGGTTAGAGAAACAAAGGAGCCTTTATCCATTTTTTGCAGCAATTCCACTTTTTGTTTGATGGACATCGAAACATGCTTTCCCTTTGTAGATCCTTTGGTAGCTCCAGCATCGGAAATTCTATTTGACATAATCGAAAGTTCCAACTTACTTTTATAAAATTGCTCTAACAGTCTGCAACAAATAATAAGGCGTATCCAATTAGAAGATTAAGGAACAACGCAATCTGCAACATTAACTGAAATAGATAATTAAATAATTTTACCTTAGCTTATACCATCCATTATACATTAAACGCGCATGCGTAAACATAAGGCATGCGCAGAAAGTTTGTAGCTTTGAGGTCCGGATTAAGATCATTCCGGATTAAAGACTTTTGACTGTATATATTTTGATTGTTCCCACAGTCACACAGTAACTTAAAACATAAAGTTAAAGAGAACTGACAAAAATTTAATTTTCGAAAAATTAGGTCAGAATACAAGAAATTCTGGAAATAATTTCAGTGTAAAGTTCTTTTTGGTTTAGGCTTGGTTTATTATGGCAAAACATACACTTTACGTGATAATAAATACCCTAACTGAAAACTGAATGTATACAGTAGGATTAGATGTTGAAAAAAATTACCAAAGCAATAAACTATTTTATGTGTTACAATAAATGAAATGAATCTAATTACAAGTTTCAGATATGCAAGACCATCGGCAGCCATGTGGTAAAACTACAGACCACAGATGATATGAAATGGGGCCAGATCTCGGTGAACGGACTGACTGCAGTGGAGTTCCCATGGCTAACATGAATACAAGCCATTTAAAAAAGCCGTCAGTTTCTTAAAAGTTTTTTCTGCCATCACTAGACTTTTGGAGCTCTTCCTTCCAGTAAAAAAACTTCAGCAAATTTATCACCCACCTAAACCTATTTTAAGACACATAGCAAGCTAAACTACTACTAAAAAAAAAAAAAAAAAAAAAAAAAAAAACTTCTTTTTACAATCCTATAATATATGATGAGGCTTTTTTTCCCATTCAGCTCCTTTATTTGATGAAATATCTGTAAATTCATTTTCAGATAAGTTATGCAATTCATTTTCTGAACTGATGAAGCAAAGGCTTTTTTTTTCCTTCTATTACTTGATCAAAGGGTATATATATATATTTGACAGTTCATTGTTGGAAGAGCATCCTTGTAAGTTGAGAGCAAGTGCAACTAATTAACACGCTGATTTCTGCAAAGTTGTGCAGGTTATTTTTCTTGTACACATGTTGACTGCAGGATATTAGTATATAAAATATTTAGGGTTATGTAAATAATGCTACACATTTGCTCCATGTAGCCATATTTTCCATATGCCATACTTATGCCACATTTTCATTTTATACAACTATGAGACAAATTAGACTAGAAATTGTTTTAATTCTTCTGAAAGGAATGCCTTGAAAATTTAATTCCCTTGGCTTCTGTATCTGTTTTGGTATGCAAAAATATGTTGGAAGCCCAAATGCAATGCATGCATATTTTCATATGCAGTCACCAAAGGATTAACATTATATAACTTTAAAATTTTTCTCCGACAACTCCTGTAAATTAGATTGTATTCCAGAACAAAACATGTACATTATCCTTGATTCTATAACTTAAACGAACTGCTTAAAGTCTTCCCTTTTATAAATTTCTGTTTAGTTATGAATTATCCTCATATTATTCTTCATACCTATACAGCTTATATCATTTTATAAGAATTATAATTAATAAATAATGCCTACTAAAGACAGTACTACTAATAATGCCTACTATGCCCTTAAAATAATGTCTACTAAAGATAGTTGGAGTAATGGACTACAATAACATAGGTACAGAATTTTTCCCTCTCAGAACAAAGAATGAATAATTAATTTAATTTTACTGAACTAAACTATTCAAATTATGATAAATTATTCTAAGGCTTATTCTATAATTATTCTAATATTATGCTTTCATATTTCAACATGACATTTAAAATGCAACTTCAACAGAAGAAAAAATTTCTATTTGCAATATATTTTCTTACTCCTAATATTAAACTTTAATTACTTTTTTTTATTTTGACTTGGAAATTTTTTATCTCTCATGTTACATTATAATTTTCTAAATAGCAGCCAAACAAAAAATTAAAATGAAATACAAATTAAATTTATGTTTCTAAACATGCCATATCTTTAAAACTACAGAAGTGTAGTACCATCATGCAAATTTATCAAAAGGAAAGTTCAACTGGAATAGAAATATGTGCAAATATATGAAATAAAAGCATTTTACACAGAAATTAAATTTCAATAAAATCCTACAATGCAGTCAGACCATTAAATTAGGGAAAGATTATTATTATAAGCATTTTTAAAACAAATATCAATCGGAATAATATGAAAATCATTGAAAAATGGAAAATTAGAGGAAAATAATATAATCTAAAGTACATATGCTTAAACAAAATTGTTTAAAAACAAATATTCAGTTATTAAACAAGGCTGATATAAGAGTTTATCTTGAAGGATACATGCATGACCTTATCTACAAATTTGGAGCCCACTTTTTGTACCAATTTTAAATGCTCAAATCTATCACAATTTCTGCATAATTTATTTTCATTAAGTTTCCCAGTCTCAATATTTCATTAGACTTATTAATTTAACATATATCACTTAAAATACACATTAGTCCTTTCAGAAATACAGAAAAACTTTACAGAAGACACCTCTTAAGCTACATATTAATCAATCATTATAAAAAACCAAATGTAATTTTGGACGGCAAGCTTTTAGATCAATAATACAAATAACAGTAAAAAATATCATAAGCACAAAATGTAATTAACAATTTATTTATATGTCAAAGAAAGTAACATCAATTGTTTAGTCATCAATAAGCCAATATTTTATGATTTAATTAAAACTAAGAAGCACCCCAACTACAGATGGGATATCTTAAACCTAGATTTAAAGAAAAATACTTGAATACCTCTACATATATATACATATATGTTTAAAAAATAATATATTTTGAAACAACAATCTGACACACAAAATTGAATTTAAAAAAATTCATTTATCTATTACAAAAGCTAGAAAAAGAAATAAAAGCAAGAAATACAGAAATAAACTTCAGTTAGAAGCATTTGTATTTTTGAGCCTTTCTTACACTGCACTTTAATTATTTCTCAATAATTCTTACAATTATTCTCAATACTCTTAAATGATTACATGTAAACACATAAAAGCTTTATTAATGTAAATCTCAACAGCATTCTGTTTAAAGAATACAAATTTTGAAGTGTACTCTTTTAGTACTTTGAGGAGTATATCTTTTAATTACATATATATTCATGAGATCTGAATCATAAAAGCTAAATATACAGTTTTTCAAATTTAATATGAATGATTAATATATAATAATGAAAAATTATAAGCACTTTTCTACTAAAGCCATACCAATAGGCACTTTTTTTGTTTTGTTTTGACATATTTTCTAAGCAACAGATATTGCAAGTTTAGTTTGGTTTCTTTCCTGGTGATAATGTCTTCACAGTTATCATATTTTCTATCTGTCTCTTTGTAATCGATTCTGCAATTTGTAAATGCCAGTTAATTTATGTTGTCAGGAATTAAATCCCTTCTGAGTTTTGAGAACCAAAGCTTGCTTCAAATGAATTACAACACAATGGTTAATTATAATAGTTACATAAGACCAACATGGGGTAATTTCTTGCTATCTGGTTTTAAAGTAAAAATTGATGGATGTATTGAAATTTTGGAAACTGATGAAAATTTATTCAAAAAAGAAAATATAATAAAAGCTGTGTTCATCCTTCATAATGGGTTTTTGGATTTTATCACGAAATTAGAGAATGTTCCTGGCTTTTCCATTTTGCTAATATTGAGTCAAAAGCATGCAGAAAGAAATAAGCCAAAATGTACCAACAACGTATTGTATGGCCTTTAACTGAAAAGTAATTCATTATATATATTTTTTTCATATTTTCAAGTAAGTTAAGCATTATGGAAAATGCCTTTAAAATCAAATGACATTTTTTAAATACACTTTGAAAAAATATGAGAAAACGAATGCATATGCACACATAGCAATTAGTAAAAATGTATTTATTCCAAAAATGACAATTCAAAACTTTTAACCACCTCCTTAACACATATAAAAAATGGTTTTGCAACCTACATATGGGTTCACTCTTTTAGATACTTCTACTAAATTTATATTAGGAGATAATATAATCAATATATCTTTAATAAATAAATTATTATTATCTTACTTTGCAGCTATTGTGCAAGTATTAGAAAAATTTGTTTTCGAACTAAGCGAATTTAAGATCATATGACGTATAATTAAATAAGATTTACATAAAAGATAAAATGATAATTTTGTTCAGAATTATTGAAAAACAGAAATTTTGTTGATATTTATGAAACAGTAATAATAATGCTAATAAAAATGCTTTATGCAAAAAATATGAAACTATAGCCATCTAACTACATATCAAACTTTCTAAAAATATAAGAAGATATTTTGATACCTGTTTTTAAAAAGAAACTTTTACATACATAAAACACACTAAATACACTTTCATACAATAAAAAGAACCTGGTTTGCTACAGAAACTAAATGAAAAAAATTACAAAGGAAAAACAAAAGTTACATGATAATACATTTGAGAACACGTCATGTAAGTGAAGACAGTCCTAATTTCAAAGTAAATAAGCAAGCAGCAGTACAAATACTAAACTACAGTAATAGGTACAGAAAGTTTATTTTACACAAAAGATTTTTTTATAAGCAACATTTCTTTTAACTTATTTTACCAATGACTAGAAAAAAGGAAGGAATAAAGTTTTATGCTGACAGCCATTCAAATTATTATAACAGCTTTCTCTTTCAATACATCAATGTTACTTTGAAAAAGACAACATGAACTCCATATAAAAATATACATCAGCCAACCTTGAACTTTAGATTGTCTACACAACATAATTTTTCATACTCCTTCTTACTTATCAAGCAATGCTATGGCTAAATAAAACAAACTATACAAAATTTTCTCATATTAGCCCATTTACAATTTTAATCAGTTACATATTCCATTGGCATAAAATGAAAATTCAATAGTTATTTTACTATACATTACACCATACATGTAATAATCAAAAGACACTTCAGGAGAAATATTTCTAAGTTATTTAGAAAAATACCTCTGTGTAAGGAAAGTATACAGCTTTCAAAAAAATAAATAATTTTTCAATAGATTTTGTTAAACAACTACTTTAAAAATGTTATCTAAAGTAGTTTACCTAGTCATTGGACACAGCATTTGTTGGCAGTAACAAATGCTACAAATTTCCAATCACAACATTTTCTAAAGTTTTAGAATCAAATTTTATTACAAAACTCATTATCTTTCATAAAACATATATAATTGCTAGAAACATATATTTAAAAATTTTTAATTTGAATAGAATAAAAAGGACAAAAATCATTGAGCAATTATAGTAACAATTCCCAGGAATTTAACCTTGGTATTATTAATGTAAAAATAATATTAAAACTCAATTAACTAGAATACAATTTTGGAAGGTTCTTGGTGTATATATAGAACAATTTTTATAAAATTTTTTTAAACACTGGAAAATATAAAGAACAAAAGAGATTTGAGTATATGAACATGAATATAAAAAATTTAAAACAAATACACTTATAAAATTTTTGATAAATTTTAAAATAAACAAAACTATCAAATTCACTAATGATTTAAACACAAACATGTATGAAAATATAAGCCTTTTTTTAAATATAAGACAAAACTATGTACAAAGATCAAAATAGATATCTAAAAACCGCACTCTACAAAATAGGGCAGCTATATGTCACAACTAAATACTGTCATCTGATGTGATAAACGAAGCATTAAAATCTGAAAAGTCACCAAGGGTGATATTATGATGAAGCAACTCCTAAACATGGACACCTTTATTTTACATTGGAAATATTGGACAGCATCTATTAGGAGAAATTAGGAATGAAGAAAAAAATTGCATAAATATTTAATAATTTTTACATAAACTAAATAACTTCACTCAGTATTATTCTACATACATATAATTTGTAATTCTTAGATTCATTAAATATTAGGATCTGTCACTAAACCCTAATAGTTACCAGTTTCATTAAGATTCATACTGATAATTTCTCTTATTTTCTACCACTAAGATAAGCGATATCAAGCTTTAAAGGACTTATGAGTTTTTAAGCAAATTAGTAAATACAAACACATACAAATTTTTTGCTTAACACATCCTCAGCGTTTGTACATTTTAAACTTGCACCATTTTCTCAAAAATGGAATTAATAATGTTTTAAAGTGTGATATCTTTTAAAGCCCTTTGCTTTATGAAAAATTCAATGCAAAATTTACACACATACCCTGTTACACTGTATATTTTCTTGCCAGAGCACAAAAGACATTGTTGTAAAGTATTTTTCTTTTTTCTAGTTCCAATGATGGGCTCTAATATATGTTTCCTCATGTTCAAAGAAGTCTCTCTGTAGAATTTTAATTAATTTTTTTTTTTTAATACTGGTTACTGACAGTATATATAGTGTTGATGGACATCTGCAGGAAACAGGTATATTGGCCCTACTGGCAAAAACAAACCGGTGGATTACAACTCATAATGGAAAATGAGTTTCTTGTTGATACAGGACAGCAGATGTCCCAAAAAACTTTAGCCAGACATTTGGGAGAAGGACTATAGGCAGTTAGATCTGTGGTGTGTGTGTGTATCATTATTTAGACAGCAATTATGTCATGAGCGACTATCATGGACTGAACAGGAGTGGGTTTGCGAAACATTCTCAGATGAGAGTAACTTCAACTTGTCGTCAGCTTGTAGATGCCAAGTGATCTGGCATGAGAGTGGCACAGCTTATCATTTAAAAGTATCCAAGAAAGGGACCTTATCCAAGATGCAGTATCATAGTGTGGGCGAGCATAAAGATCAATGATTGCACGTCCCTATATATGCTTGTAACAGGGACTATGAGCGGCCACGGCCAACAATACATTGATATAGTTTTACTGCCTCATGTTTGCCTTTTCCATGGTGCTTTTGGTGATAAATTTGATAATTTAGTGTAGGGTACACACCATATGTGCTATACTATCTGGAACCTTTTTCGTATTTATTCCTGAGTGACCTAAAAACTCTTCCAAGAATAATGGATTTGTCTACTGGCAACCATTCTTCAAAATCTGAATTAAGGCTTGAATCTGAACTATTTGAAATTCTTAGTTGGTAAAAAAAGCTAGGGCATCACACAAATTTGTAATTACTAGAATTATCATTGGTAAGCTTGTTCTTGCAGAAATAATTTGACAAATGATCTGCACACAATTCTGCATTACCCCATTCTATTATACTGTGGTCTACATTTTAGGAATTTACTGCAAAAAAAGGTTAACTTATAGTAAAAAATCACTTTGTCACCAAAAAACTCAGCGATTACAATAATTCATTGATAATTCGTAGAAAACAAGCTTTGTCATTGCCTGTGCTTTAATAATAATATGAATAAAAAGAGTTTAGTTTTTTTCTACAATTTAATAACAATATGCACAAAAAGAGTTTGGTTGTTTCCTACTTAAGATGCGTTAACCTGATTATTATATTGGGCTGGGAATCACACTAGTGAGTTTCACTCACAAATTTCTGGCTAATTAAAACACATACTTTCAACTTAAAGGAAAACTTATTCAGAACTGTTTAACAGCTCAGCTAGCAAAACCTTATTTCTTCAGGCAACGTCCAAGTATTCCCAATAATACCCAATTAAAGCAGAATCCATTGGAGGAATAGAGGGATCATTAGTCACATTTGCAATTGGTTGGAAAATATCAGACCCATAATTGCTAGAAGTTATATGTATATTATAGGTTTTTAATCAATTTATAAAATACAGTCAAAAGTCGTTAATCCGGACTCGTCGGAACTTCGGCGATTCCGGATTATAGATCATCAGCTTAAATCTGGTAAGATGGCAGGCAGAATTACAAAATTAAAAATATGAAACCGTAATTTATGAAATAAAGAACAATTATGATCTAAAGGGTATCAAAATTTACATAAAAAAAAGCTTAATATTATTTGTTTTTATTTTATTAACATTTCTTTCAATGTAAGTTGTTTAAGTTGCTTCGTTTTTTATGTGATAATACATTCTCTTTAATTCTATAAACAGACATAATTTCTTGTTCAGTTACAAAGTTTCGCTGTTCAAATCCTATAATTGCTGTGTCGAGAATACCGACTAATTTGTCAATCGAAATTTTTTCGTTTTCAATAACCTCTGTGTCACTTTCTTCACTATCGGAAGCAAATTATAATGACGAGGAATTTGATTTAAATCATATCAAAGATGGAGTACATCGAGATGAAATACTACATTTAGTAAGGAATTATAAGCCAAATAAAATAAAAACATCCGCCCTGAAGATAAGGATAGTGCTGACAGATCAACTTCGAATTCATTGCGTGCCACGGCGTTTCCCCCCGCCGCAGAGCAGCGTGAAATTGATAAACAGATTTCGGAATGGTTAGAGAAACAAAGGATATGCCTTTATCAATTTTTTGCAGTAATTCTACTTTTTGTTTAATGGGTTTCAAAACATACTTTCACTTTGTAGATCCTTTACATATTAGTAAATATATATCAGAAATTCTATTTGACATAATCGAAAGTTCAAGCTTACTTTTATAAAATGCTCTAACAGTCTGCAAAAAATAATAAGCCAGACCCAATTCGAAGATTAAAGAACAACGCAACCTGCAACATTAACTGAATTAGATAATTTTAGCTTAGCTTATACCGTCTATTATACATTAAACGTGCATGCATAAACATATTATGTGCATGCGCACACGCATATTCGCAGCCGTAAAGGTCTTACGCGCATGCGTCAAACTGACGCATGCGCAGAAAGTTTGTAACTTTGAGGTCCGGATTATGGGTGTCCGAATTAACAACTTTTGACTGTACTTCTTCTTCAATGGCCAGACAGCCCAGGATGGGCCCTTTCCTTTATAAGAATCAAATTCCAAGCTCTTCTATCCCTGGCCATGGACATCCAATTGGTTATTTTTACAGACAGACTAACAAACAAACTTAAGTTTTCTACAAACAGACTTAACAGTTTCCAAACAGTCGAGCCACCTAAGTTTAAGTCTTTCTCAATTTATAAAATACAATGCAGTAAAAATTTCCACGTTTTTTCCTAACAATTATTTGATATTTTAAATGTTTCCCTGTGTAAAATTATATAGGAGATAATGAATTTTAATTACTTCAAATTGAAATTGAAACTTTATTGCAAACATTTCACTTAAAATACTGTATAATTTTCCCCTAAATTAAATACAACTTCTGAAAGTCTTTAAATAAACATTAAAAAAAAAAAAAAAAATATATATATGCAAAACAGCAATCTTAATTTGGCATACATTTCAAGCAAAACTATCAATTTTGAGGGCAATCAGACACAAACAATATTTAAGGAGCAAAAAGAGCCTTTCCCCCTTCTCATGAAGACAGACCTGAATCTGATTTCCATTGAAATTGATTCAGTGTTATTTAATGCCATTTAATGTTATTAATAGTTAAATCTATGCCAAAATAAATGTTGCAATTTTGCCTAATTTTAAAATGACATGTTTTTCTTCCTATTTGATTAACCTTTTCTCTACTAAAAAGATTGTTTATTAGTTATTGAAATTTTTTTTAATATATAAATTTCAATCTACACATGACAAATGGGAAATGAATTAGAATAATATAATTTTAGTGTAAAGCATTAGATTTAAAATAAATAAAAGGAGCTTTAAATTTTTATAGTTATTATATGTAAGCATAAATAATTCTCTGTACTTATAACTGGGAAAGTGTAAAAAATGTAAAGTATTTATTTTGATATGTAATGCATGCCATATAATGCATTTTAAATTTCAATTCATTTAATGAACACAGTTGTATTAATTTTTAAGCAAAATAAATTTTTCTAGCTTATTTATTGTTTCCATATATTCTGCAATGTCATAAGCAAATTTTAAAACTGACATGTACCATATCAAATTTAAATTGATTAAAAGACCATTATGTATGTATATAAGCTAAGAGCGATGGGGTTTCCCATGCATGCGCAACTGGGGCCAGAACACACCGCTTGGAAAATACAGTTTATGCTTGTGCATGATAATTTAATACTTGTGTACAAATATTTTAATAAAATGTTAAATACATTAGTGTGAGCCATAGTTAAATATATTAGTGTGATAGTTGAGACTGAATTTTATCAATGATTTTTAATATATTTGAAAGTTAGTGGTTCATATTCTTAAGACATATTGCAAGTGTTGATCTGTCAGTTTATTTCTTAATTTTGACTTTAGATTCATAAGAGAAAATGTTTGTTCACATATATAAGTACTAACAAATGTAGTAGCACATCTGCTTGCATTTTTTAAGCGCAAAAATTCGAAAGGTAGAGTTCTATAAGAATTCAGAATATCTAAATTAAGGAATCTGGATTTGCATAAGACAGAAGTTTGTAAATCGATAAGTTCTATTTGAACACCTTCTGGAGCTTCTTTGACTACAAAAGAAAATGGATCCCTGAACAGTTTAAATTTAACAGTATGCAACTCAGTCTGAAAAGCGCTTTTCAAAAGAAATAAGCAGCCTCTTTATTTGATCTGAATAATCCAGTTGTTTATCCGGAAAATTTTCTTCGAGTTTCTTCAGATAAGGTAAACTGACAAAATTTTGACAGCCAAGCTGCTTTGAGAACAGCTGGAGTTTTAGTTTGAAAGCAGATATTGCATTGGCCAGGTGATTGATGAATTGGTTTTTTCCCACCAATTTTTTGTTTAGGTCATTCAGATGGGCTGTCACAACAACTAAAAACGCTAAGTCACACTTGAAAGATGGTTCCTGTAACATCCAAGTTT